ATATTAAAACTACTTTATTCCCACTGATCACAGCAAATATAGCTGCAAGGCAAAGAAAGGACAGTGAAGCTCCGCCCAGCGCGTCAGACACACTTTTGCACCGCGCAGCCAGAGCAGCAAAGCTGCTTCAGTCGCGCGTCAGAACTAAACTGGTACAAGCAGCAAAAAGGAAGCAGCAGATGTGTTTTTGCTGCTCCTGCTGCGTCCGGTGTGAACGTAGCATCACGCTCCACCACCAGTTTAAGCCTTAAAACAAGCTGCAACTGGAATCTAGGAAAGGGGCTAAAATTGAGGATTAGGTGCAAAATAAAGCACAAGCATTTTGTAAATGTAATAAAACAAAATAAAAAAAGCAGCAGAGATAAAAAAAAAAAAAAACGGCTATCAAATACTGATTGTCGCATTTATTATTTTATATTATGTCCTCACAATATGAGAAACCTGCTGGATCTTCTGGGACACTTTCATTTGGCTAAATCAGAGTCCAACTGGACTCACCAGCTCAAAGCACCAGGAAACATTAAATGAATGGAGATCAGCCCAGATGGACCATATGGTCCTACTCTAGTGAAAATACAGTCCAAATGTGCAGCATGAAAACAAACACGTGTTGTGTCCCCCTAACTAAGGATAAAAACAATACCATTTTTTAAGTACATCTCAATCAACTAATTTAAAAAAATGTACTTTCTACTTGTTTGTGCAGTGATGCTGTTGTTTATAGATTCATAAAGCAGCTGAAAACAGAAATCTAGTTGTCCATATTTTCATTCTTCCATGCTCACTTTTCAGTGCAACACATTTCTTAGCACCTCCCAGCGTGTCTTGCTCCCACGCAACACACCGCTATCTATACCACAGCCTATTATTTCCAGCTCATGCCTTTTTAATCCCAGAGTAGCACCCTACATTTCTGAACAGGTGTTTTATCAACGCTTCCTCCCCGTTAGAAAGTGCACTCAGCCATGCATTCATATTTTCATTAGTGCTGCAACCCACACCACAAGGAACCAGCCTGCTTCTTCGTCCATCCACGTCTTCCTGAAAGAGGGATTAAACAGCAAAGTGAGAGAAAGTGTGGGGGTGGTGGACAGAGCGGTGCGACAGATAAAGGAGCATTACATATCCTCCTGTCATGTGACCCTGTGGAAAAACCCATACTCTTGAATTTCCAGAAATTAAACTGGAAACGCACACGAGAGGCCAAAGCGATGAATGTGTTTAAATAAACCAGAGCGGTCACACAGGAATGTGACCAACCACTCAATGGTTCTCTGATTATCCAAACCCGAGTAGGAGGAGAGGAGACACTTGTTTTTGACATGTTTTGGATATTGCACAAATGATGACATTTTACTTTGCATTCCTGGGTAAATATCACAGAGAGGGAGAAAACATGGAGCCGTTGTTAACTTAGCAGAAGGAAACTGTGATTAAGTAAAGGGAAACTCTAAAGGAACGTTTAAAGGGCAGAGCTACAACTGGAGGAAAACAGTTATTCAAAAATAATACATTAAGATTTAAGCAGTGAAGAATAAAAGTATGAATTTTAATGAAAAAAAGTACATATATATATATACAAAATTGTTTTATATATTCTGACACATTTCCTTCTCGTTCTGCTGATGCTGAAGGACTCTGCACTAACAGTAGGTTGAACTCACATGAGATTCCAGATCCTAGTAGAGCCATGATGGAGCTGAGAAATGGCTTCTTCTAGCCTCACTTTTCTTAGCTTCAAGGTAACAAAAATGAATCAAAATGAGGGTGAACATCGGTCAAGATTTTGACCATTGATGAGGCCATGTGGAGGCTGTCACTACTCTAAGTTAAATGTTGGCTAAAGCTAAGCAAAGGGCCCATTTTAAGGAAAATGCATTGAAACTGTTAATATGCATTCATAGAGATACTGATCTACCTCTATAGTTAAGTTGCTATAGGTTTAGACTGCTGGAGGACATAGGGACCCCTATTTCATCATTCTGTCTCTA